TTGTTTCTCTTCAACGTGACTTTACCGAAAAAACTAAGAATATGGTTGAGAGAAGTGAGGCACCTTGACAAAGGGGTTTATATATCAAACAGGAGAATTTAGCATTGAAATAGCTGAGGGATTAGCTTGTGACTGGTCACAGAAATAGCTATGTTAAAGTCAAAGCCTACACATCCACAGAGGCACCAAGTACAAACCAAACAGAATAATTTAGCATTGAAATAGCTGAGGGATTAGTTTGTGACTGGTCACAGAAATAGCTATGTTAAAGTCAAAGCCTACACATCTACAGAGGCACCAAGTACATGGACGCCAAAGGGGTTGCAACAACTCAACTATCATGCAGTAAACCGATGTGAAAAAACCCAAGTCTAAATTACATCAATATAATAAATGTACTTAATATATTCTTCAATAAGCTGAGCTATTAACAGCAACTGGGTATACACTACACTATATAATGAATACCATATTGTAAACAGATAAAAAAACTAAAATATAAACTACCTCAATGTTATCAATAAACTCTATATATTCTCCAATCAGCTGAGCTACCAACAATAAGTCGTTATATATCACAATGCTATATGGCGAAAAAATGGGTGGATTCTTACCCTCAACATCAGGACCACGGACAGCTACGAGCCCCGTTCAGACGGATGAGTCCATCCATGGTCGGAACGGAGGAGGGAGGAGAGAAACAGCTGCGAGGCGCTGTACTCCATGTTATAAACCATACCATTAACCGTGGTGTGAGAGGTATTAAGAGTCAATGCCAGCGAAAGATCTGCGGTCTGAAGGTCACCATAAAATACAATTAATTAAGAACCGAAATGGTTTAAAACATCTTTCCAATGGTTACTAAGCCAGAATCCATCTTCTCGGTTGAAATTGTCTCTGTGCTTGTATATGTGGATGGCCTCATGAACGAATCTCTCATGGTAGCCGGTTGGCTTGCAAAGAACCTCCATCTTGGAGAAGTCAATGTCATGTGAGCCCACTGAATTATAACAGTGATCTGCCACGGCAGAGGAGTTCGTTCTACCATGTTTCAAGTCTGCTTTATGTTCGCGGATGCGGTCCAAGGTATGTCGTTTGGTTTCTCCAATGTAGCTACTACCACAGAGGCACTTTATTTTCTAAACGCACGGGTACTGTATGTCTGGAACAGCATCTTTTACAGATGGAACCAGATCACGGATTTTATGTACTGTGTTGAATCGGACCTGGATCTTGTGTTTATTCAGGATTTTGGAGATCTTTTTAGTGACCCCTGCAATGTAGGGTAAGGTGATGGTTTTGAGTGGCTGCACAAGAGGATCCTTCTTCATGACTGGAGTGATGGCTTTGCGGATTGTGTAGTCGGAGTAGCCTGGTGTACGTGCTTGAGTTCACTGGTAATGTGTTCCTGGTCGGAAATGCATTGGGCTCTATGGTATAGAGTCTTGATGAGGGAGTTCTTCTGGGATGGATGGTGGTGGGAATCCGGTTTCAAGTAAGCATCTGTATGAGTAGCTTTCCTGTAGACAGAGTGGCTCATTGAACCATCAGGTCTCCTTTTAATCAAGACATCCAAAAAGGGTAGCTTGCCATCTTTTTCCACCTCCATGGTAAATCTGACGGCTGGGTGTATGGAATTGATGTGGTCGCGGAATTGGTCTAGAGCAGGCTGGCCATGTGGCCAGATGACAAAAGTGTCATCCACGTACCTCTTCCATAAGGTCGGGCGTAGAGTGGCAGTCTGGATGGCGTCAGTTTCAAATTTTTCCATGAATACGTTGGCTACAACTGGAGACAGGGGGGAGCCCATTGGGGTGCCCTCAGTCTGTTTGTAGAAAGTTCCATTCCAGGTGAAATATGTGTTGGTTAAGCAATGTCTCACCAGGGGGGGTACATCAGTATGCAGTCCTTGATGAACCAGGTCTTCAATGATAGCGATGGTGTCAGGTACCGGAACTTTGGTGAACAAGGACACCACATCAAAACTGACAAGCAGGTCGTCTGGGGACAGGGAAATGCCTTTGATTTTCGATACCAGGTGAGTAGAATTTAGTACCGCAGAGGTGGTTTTTCCAGTGAAAGGTCGCAGTATATCAGCAAGAAAATGGGCCAGTTTATAGGTGGGAGAGTTGATAGTAGAGACGATGGGACGAAGGGGTGTATCTTCTTTGTGTATCTTTGGAAGGCCATATAATCTTGGTGGTCTGGCAGCAGAGGGTTTCAACGATAACTGTTTGGTCTGATCAATTAATGCTGTTGAATCAGAGATGATTTTGTTCATTTTGGTAACCAGGCTGTTGGTGGGATCTCTTTTTATTTTTGTATAGCTGCCATCGTTGAGTAGTTCTTGAATTTTGTTGTTATATTCTGTTTTGTCCATGATGACAGTGGCACTGCCCTTGTCGGCTGAGAGGACGACAATATCATCTCTCTTTTTTAATTGAGATAATTCAAAGCGTTCATCTTTGCTGATGTTGCTAGGTGGCATCTTAGCGTTTTTGAGGGTTGCAGCGATTTCAGATTTTGCTACGTCTGCAGAGATGTGACTCAAGCCCTTGAGTGCAACGTCGACATGGGCAATGATATCATTAACCGGTATGTGTCTCGGTGTGACAGCAAAGTTTAGACCTTTAGCTAAAACGGATTTCAGACCATCAGAAATGGAACTGTTACTGCGATTAATTACGACTCTGTTAACGTCTATCTTTTCGGTGTGTGGATCCGATTTTTTGTTGCCATATAGCATTGTAATATATAACGACTTATTGTTGGTAGCTCAGCTGATTGGAGAATATATCGAATTTATTGATAACATTGAGGTAGTTAATATTTTTTTTATCTGTTTACTATATGGTATTCATTATATAGTGTAGTGTATACCCAGTTGCTGTTAATAGCTCAGCTTATTGAAGAATATATTAAGTACATTTATTATATTGATGTAATTTAGACTTGGGTTTTTTCACATCGGTTTACTGCATGATAGTTGAGTTGTTGCAACCCCTTTGGCGTCCATGTACTTGGTGCCTCTGTAGATGTGTAGGCTTTGACTTTAACATAGCTATTTCTGTGACCAGTCACAAACTAATCCCTCAGCTATTTCAATGCTAAATTATTCTGTTTGGTTTGTACTTGGTGCCTCTGTGGATGTGTAGGCTTTGACTTTAACATAGCTATTTCTGTGACCAGTCACAAGCTAATCCCTCAGCTATTTCAATGCTAAATTCTCCTGTTTGATATTTAAACCCCTTTGTCAAGGTTCCTCACTTCTCTCAACCAGCTTAAAAGACGCTACGAATCTTAGCAGCGTTCATTGAAGCTCTGTCGTCCCGACAGTTTTGTTCCTTCACCTGAAGAAGGCTACTTGTGTTGTGGCCGAAACGTCGTGAGAATTTTATTGTCTCATTTTATTTTATTATTTTATTCTCATTCTACGTGACCGAAAGAACCAAAGAAGATGAATCCTTGCAGTCACGAAAGCTTCAAATCGAAATCTAAACAGTTCTCATTATTGTATATCATCTCATGGGTAGGCCGTCATAATTGTGCTGTATTGTCTCAACAACGACGACGGCACGATGTCCGACATTTCGCAGCACATCCTGGGAGCTCATGTGTATATATGCACATTCCCGAAGACGCTCGCACCACGTGGAGTGAAAACGGACAGCATGCCGAACAGTACGCGGTGCAGCGCGGAGACACTCGTTGAGATAAATTGTGTGACCTATTCGCGTGTGGTTTCAGGAATAAAATCCGTGGTTGAATGCGATGTGACCCTGACGCTCGTGCGACATTTGTTTCGCTCCAGATTTAACTATCCAGACGGCAGACGTATTGTGCAATCAACAATGGCGGCCCCCTTGAACAACTGCGCATTCATTCCAATCGCTATGTTGTTCGCGGGTTGTGCCATGTCACGTTCGGCACGGGGACTATGCCTATGCGGCACAAACACGAAAATCTAACCGCCTACAATGTATTTCTTTGTTTTCTGGGTGACAACTGCATGGATTGTCGCACCATTTGCAAACGGGTGGAATGCCAGAAATCAGGACATGAACGTGCGTGCATGTGTGTGGGGAGCGGCAGCGTAGCGGTTAGCGCGCTGTGTTATGAACCTTGTCACCCGAGTTCGATTCCCGCTCATGGCCAACATCAGTTGACGATTATCTGAACCGGTCCTGGGTCTCCCCTAGGTCGACTCAGCCTCAAATAAGTACCTGGTGCGGTGTGTAAAAACGTCGCCATTAGGGAGACAAAGGCGGCCGGGCGTGGTACTGGTCACCCACCCCCTCGTGTGCCGTTCAGGCCTTCACAGGTGCTCGCTAACTGCACTTGCCCCAACAATCTGTCTTTGTATGTGTGATGACTATAGCAGTAGTAGGTGAGTTGATGACTTCAACTCCAGCCAACATCACTCGTGTCGAGAGGTTACAGATGACAGGCGAGTAGGAATTACGCCCAATTTCAGCAGTCAAAGGGGGTGGATGCGGGAACAGTTTATTTAATTACCCAGCCCAGACCTAGCTCTTTTCAACTTCCATCCTCGAAGACCCTGTGAAAGATGTTGTGCTGGGGAAGATGGTTTCACATTAACAAGACTGTGAAATCAATCGTGCAGTTGGTGGCTTTACGGACAACCAAATCACCTCTCTGCTGTCACCATTAAGAAGCTGGTAAGTCACTGGGACAAGTAAAACTACGCTAGAGCGGTTCTCTAGAGTTCCCTCGAGCAGAGGTTCTTACATCAGCAGTGGCATGAGCAAGCAGTAGCAGGGCAGCACATTTACCTTTTTACCTAAACCTGACCAGAGCAAATGTATGTTTGCTCATCTGACTCTGGACTCTAACCCAGTATCTCTCTTGCTCTGGCTCAACAAGCAAAGGTGCCACGAGTAACTCAACAAAGATACATACTGCCAGACCGCGAAGCGGAGTGGGCCGGGGTGAGGTCCAGTTGTGTGGAAGTAGCACACGGTAGAGGAATAATGGCTTACCTTCTTGAATTCACGGGTGTAGTGGTATTCACACTGCATCATGTCAAAGAAGATGGGGATGGTGGCCTTGCGTAGCTCCATTTCAGGAACCAATGTCATCTCCAAAATGGGGCCAATCATCCCAGGGATGAAGCGAATCTTGTGCTGGCCTGCAAAGCACACAACGATGTTTGTAAAATCCTGAAAACCCAATGTTATTGGCCTGCAAGAGCATGCACGTAAAGTATTGAATTTTCTCACGATGGCTGTTTTTGTTCATAACTACGCATAGCATTTGGGTGCGCATGGTAACTGCAGACATCACACGTTTGCTGCCATCGTGCCAGTGTCGCTATAACCACGTGAAAGCAATTTACAATTTTGCACGACGTTTGCACTTATCGTTATTTGAAAATAAACATTTATTTTGGCGCTGCCTTAAAATAGATAACTCAAAGCCACGCACTCAATGGAAATATGTCCACGCTTCTTCCCATTTTACAACTAATGTTTGTAACCCGGTTTTTTTTTGCATGATTGCAAATTGTTGTGAGCTTAAGCGTTAAGCCAAATGTGCATTAAAGCCACAGCCATTTTATCTCTGAGAGTTGCTGTCAGACAGATGTGACCCACAGTGCAGTTGATTTTGTTTCGACCCTGTCAAACTGTTTCTCGGTCTGCACAAGGGGATAACCCTCTGAAGCCCACTGCTGACCAATTTTCTCCCTCAACTTGAGTGTGATTGAAGACCCCTTTTGCTGGGCCCTGTCAATTAATGTGCTGAGATTGGCAATCTTGCCGTGCATGAGAACTCTCGCCCGAGCAATCGCCATTCATTTTTTCAGTTGTTGATGTTGCCAGGGTGCAAACCCGAGCTGAAATGAAGGACTGCCGACATTACCCTGCTCTCCCTGCATGAGATCATGGAACCACCCAGCCCACAGATGATGGCACCAATATTGCGGGCCGTGAATGTTACGTGGTGGTGGTGGGGGGAAGTCACGAGCGTTTTCATTTTCTGACCGATTTGACGTTGCTCACAATTTCCCTGCCGCGTGAATGATGGCTGTTTTTGTAGATGCAGCCAATGGGCAAGCAGGCGCGAACGCATGGGGATTAGAAGGCAGGGTGCAGTCGACGCGAGTTGCACAGACGTTAAATTCACAGTTGCTAACAAGGACATGTGGCGCAGAAAAGCGCACTCACTGGTACTGGTAGGAATTTGCAGTGATTAGGGACAGCATGCAACTGTATACAATATAGACTCAAGGTGCTTTTCTTCTCGAGGCGGGTTCCAATATTAAACAAATGTTGAATGCATCTGTGTCTCATTTGAATTTCATTTACCTTTGACGTGAGTAGATGTGGTCACTTTATGCATGTTCGGCACATATCTAGAGATCTGTTTTTATTAGTGTCATTAAAATCATTACCACTGCAATCGTATTTAATTACCTGGGGTTGTGTACAGTGAACATAATTTGTCGCTCGCAATTCGAAGCTTGAGAGTTTAAACCCTCCTTGGGTTGAGCTCAACCCTTTGTCCCCCCACGGTTATTAAAATGGGTACCACTTTGTGGAAGACAACAGTTGCCCCTCAGGATACATTTGCTCCCACCAGGATTGTAAGCAGACCCCCTATCTTGTTTAGGCCGTCAGTCACTTATTGGTCGAATTATGAACATTCATGACATTTGTATTATTATGTACATATAGCCATTTTGTCAATCCACTGCTGGATGACAGCGGCCCACACCATGCGGGTCGTCGAGTTATTAGACCTTACTTCACCATGCTAGGTTGCTGAAGGTGGGACATTGAGATGCAGGAGTATAGAAGTAAAGTACAACAATAGATTTTTCTGTCCTGCTGTCTGCTGTCCACATAATAGCACAACGCCACAGCCATCATATGACACCCTGTTTGTGCGTGGTGGTCAATCATCCAAACGCCAGGCTCAAACAAGCTTAACTTCTGAAATATGACAAGATTGGGTACATTTAGAGTAATTTGGTCACTGCCACAGTTATATAGGCAGTCCTTTAAAAAAAAACAGGTGAAAAAATCAGTATTTATTACATATATCAAATGTATCTAAACTCGAAGCAAATATAGTTCTACATTACGATATGTTGATTATCCAACTCACTGGAACTCGGGTATAAGCAGATAAGTGAACATGTATATAAAATGACACTTACACCATGCACAAATACTGCAGTGCATGTGTAGGGGGATAATTGGTCAGGGCGGATATGTAATAGTCGGAGATGTGACATTGTAATGCACTGCAATTCTTGGAAGACACATTTGTAGTGTGAAAGAAACACAACGCTTGAAAAATAGCTGACTACTTAGAAAGCAAAATAAAACGCAGTCGAAAACGGCACACTTTAGGCCAACCACGCGAATACATTTGCAATGCAAAAACGTGCAGGGCATATTCATTACCAGTTGTCCGTAAACGAATATAAGGAGCGTGGTGGTTTCGCACGTGCGCTGGGGCTGGTGTTTACACGATTGGATTGGTGCCTCTGCCCTCAAACTCTGCAATAATGTAGTCACTGGACCCTAAGGTTTCTGTCTGAGCATGGATGTGTTAAATTGCCATCTGACTCAACCAGATGTGAGTGGAAAGGAAAAGAAAGTCAAGGGATGAGGACTGCCATTGCAATGCTGGCAAGTGTGTGTGTGCCAGCATGCGGATCCAATGTTCCATTATTAAGCCAGCCCATTTAATCCGTAACTTACAACGGTAATTAGCGATTCCAGTGTTATTAGTATTAAGGGTAAGGCTTTGGAGTTAACAAGGAAATAATTTTTGAATGCAGGTCGCATGTTTGGCACTGCTGCAGTAATAAGTGTGCAAATCCAATGGGAATAAGTATGCAAATGCATTGAGGGATTCATGTGCTACGTTGTAACCCCCCCCTGTCCTACCCACCCCCCTCAATAGCCCCTGCCCCCCCCCCCCGAGCCCCCTTCACCCACCCCACCCCCAAAACCCCACCAAGAACCCCCCCCCCCTTCCACTTTGAGGCATTTCAAACAGCGACAAAGATCCCCCAGTATAGCCTGAACAAACTGTTGGGGCAAGTACCGTTATAGCGAGCACCTATGAAAGCCGGCACGGCACACGAGGGATTGGCCAACACCATGCCCAGCCGCCTTTCTCTCCCGAGTGACAATGTTTACTCACCGCACCAGGTGCTAATTTGAGGCCGAGTCGACCTAGGGGAGGCCCAGAACCGGTTCAGATAATCGTCACTGGTGTTGGCCGCGAGCGGGAATCGAACTCGGGTCACCAGATTTGTAGTGCAGTGTACTAACCACTACGTTACCGCTCCCCAGCACAGGTTTTCACATCCATTTGTATTCATTGCTGGCTTCACATGGTGTTTGTGCCCAGGCTTGCCAGCAGTGATTTTATAAATATTAATGTAAGGTGAGGCACATTTGCATAATTAAGGGATGCAAGGTTAACGATGTTTTCACAAATACAACTCGGAGGGGGGGAAATACGTCAATGTCACAGATATAGCTCCTGTGCCTTAGCTTGCTAACTCTAGAACCTACAGTTAACGTTAGGAGAAATGTAGCGGTGTCAATTCTTATTTTCATCAAAAGCTTCATCATCATCATCGAGCTCAGCAACCATTATCATACAGTGCGCGCAGACATGGATACAAGTATTTGCATAATTCATGTTCATTGGATTTTCCTTTGTCTTTTCCTGATCAGTGAATTTCACAATTTATTTCTAATTGTGGCACGAGAGATAATTGCATGGCTAACTTGGTCCGGGAGTTTTTTGTTTGAGATTAAATTAAATTCTCTTTATCAGCCACTGTATCATCCACTGCTGGATGAAGGCCGCCCCAAGCCGCCTCCATTCGTCACATTCCTGTGATGTAACAATCGCCCAGCACCTGCACCCGAACTGAATTCACCTCTGACAATTCCCACAATTGTCGGTTGTTTTGAAGTTACTCAAATTTTCATAATATTCTTTGTCAGTACGAAAAATACAGCTTTTTATGTAAAAAATACAAGAACACTCGTTTTATAATGAGATATAGTGCTTATATATTTAAAAATGTGTGAAAAAGTTCATAATACAGCCTGACATAAATTACTGCAGTGCCTGAGACTAATTGCCCGAGATGCTCCGAACAAACTCTACCGAGTTAGGAAATCATTAGTGCAAAATTTTTTTACAGAATAGAAAACTATAGAATATGGCTCGTGCAATGTGCATGTATACTGCAGCACGCATGGTTAGCATAATGTTATGCAGTCATTAAAACATAAAATTCAACTTCTTTCAATGCAATGTAGATAAAATACAAAACAAGTGCACAAAGATTTGCATGCTTGGAATTTGTTGTATACGCCGGGTCTTGAAAATGTAATGAAAATAATATAGATTAAATGGAAATATTCGTTATTGTCCGAAGTTATGTTAATTGATGTAATTATGCACATACATTATGCTAATTAGAGATGCAATCGCGTTAATTTATGCGAGTGTGTGCGATTATGCTAATGCAAGTCGTTATGATAATTAGGCCCTGCCTAGCTGACGAGGGTAGTATTATCAATCGGGATCATTCAATTAATAGTATGAAGTTATACAGGTTTGCTGTAAGTGTGCTAGATTAAACTCGGCTTCGTTGTCTAGGTTCGTATTATCAATCGGTATAATACAATTAGTCTCGCTTTAACATTTACTGATTATGTCTTAGTGTTTTTATATCAGGTCTCCAAATTCAAATCTCACCGCAGGATACAGTTCTAATAATTAAGATTATTATGCATGAACTTAGGAAGGCACCACTCAGACACTTCTGTGTTAAGCAATTTTAATTTCTAAACAAAACCTTAACAGTCTAATATGCGAACTCTTATGCTCGTAATTGTCAACACAGTACTCCTGGAGATGTTCCCCTCATTGATCCATACATTTAACCCTCAACGATCACGTTTGTTAACTGGGTAACAGAACAATGTATTACTTCCTCAGAGTACACGAGCATACACGGCGAGAGGAAAAGTCCTTAAAAATTCATGCAATGATATTCATACGAAGGCAATAAAGAAACATGTCCAGAAGGCAAGAGTAGTTATCCATTAATTAATTGGTAAGATTATGCAATTAAAAAGAAAAAAA